CCCCACCTCCGACTTAAATGATTCGTGAAATTAGCAAATCACGGATGCCACAGCGTCCCACGTGCATTCATTCCTCCTCTTGGACATGAGGTCCCTGCAACCTGCAAACCATACCCACAACCGGGGGACGGATCTGCAGCACAGAAGGTTGAGCTGTCTCTCTGTGTCGGCATCCGATGCGGGTGCCATGCCGGTCCCAGCTGCCCCATCTCCAATCCAGCTCCCTCTCCCTCCCTACCCCTCCCTCTCCCTCTACCCACTTCTATCTCTGTGTCTCTGCCCTTCAAATAAATAAATTTTTTAAAAACTAAAGTTTTTAAAGTTTTTTAAAAGCTAAAAAGAATAACCTATACATGGATTTTGCGTCATCGGGATTCCTGAATCTTGAGTGGAATACATTTGAAACATACGTGATTGTGGTTACTTGATGTTGTTTTAAAAAACAAAATACATACATGAGCAAAGAAAATTGGAAAGGATAGAAATTTCCTTTAGGTACTCTGTCTAAAATGACCACCACCTTTAGAGAGCATCCCTGATTATTCAGAATATGATGAATATATTTCATTTATTTGCAAGTGTAAACTTTGTGACTTGAGCAACTGCCATAAACGAACACTCTTTTATAAAGTAAGGCTGGCTAGAACATGCTAGTATGGAGTGTAGACAGTTACCGATTTATTTTTTTGAGGATAGAGTTTTTTTTTTTTTTTTTTTTTTTTTTTTTTTTTTTTTTTTTTTGGACAGGCAGAGTGGACAGTGAGAGAGAGAGACAGAGAGAAAGGTCTTCCTTTTGCCGTTGGTTCACCCTCCAATGGCCGCCGCAGCCGGCGCACTGCGGCCGGCGCACCACGCTGATCCGATGGCAGGAGCCAGGAGCCAGGTGCTCCTCCTGGTCTCCCATGGGGTGCAGGGCCCGAGCACCTGGGCCATCCTCCACTGCACTCCCTGGCCACAGCAAAGAGCTGGCCTGGAAGAGGGGCAACCGGGACAGAATCCGGCGCCCCGACCGGGACTAGAACCCGGTGTGCCGGCGCCGCTAGGCGGAGGATTAGCCTATTGAGCCGCGGCGCTGGCGAGGATAGAGTTTTTAAAAGTTCTATTTATTTGTTCTACTTAATACTTTTGGTTGAATACTGTAATCAATACACAATTATTCTTAAGTGCTGCAACTTAAGTGAAAAGTGATCGCTGTTAAATATAACAGTGGGAATAAGAGAGGGAAGAGATGTGCAATTCGGGACATGCTCAAGCTCACTTACCTCAAACAGTAGAGTTAGAAACATACCAGGGGATTCCAATTCAATCCCATCAAAGTGGCATGTACCAATGCCATCTCACTAGTCCCAGTGATCAATTTCTGTTCACAATTGATCATAATGATAGGACTAAGAGCCAAAGGGAACACAAAACAAGACTAGTGTCTGCAAACACTAGCTGATAGAATCAAAAAGGGAGAGAATGATCCAACATGGGAAGTGAGATACACAGCAGACCCATAGAATGGCAGATGTCCTAAACAGCACTCTGGCCTCAGAATCAGCCCTTAAGGCATGCGGATCTGGCTGAAAAGCCCATGAGACTATTTTAGGCATGGAAAGCCAAGACACTCTGGACAAAAAAAAAAAAAAAAAAAACCCTAAATGAAAGATCTCCACGAGTGAGATCCCAGTGGAAAGAATGGGTCATCAAAGAAGGAGGTACCTTTCTCTGAAGGGAGGAGAGAACTTCCACTTTGACCATGGCCTTGCCTAAATATGATCAGAGTCAGTGAACTCAGGGGGCTTCCATAGCCTTGGCAGCTCATGCCAAGAGCCTAGGGTGATTACTGATGCCATAAACAAGAGTTTCAATTTGTTAAGTCAACAACAGGAGTCACTGTGCACTTACTCCTCATGTAGGATCTCTGTCCTTAGTGTGCTGTACATTGAGATTTAATGCTATAACTAGTACTCAAACAGTATTTTTCACTTTATGTTTCTGTGTGGGAGCAAACTGTTGAAATCTTTACTTAATGTATGCTAAACTGATCTTCTGTATATAAAGAGAATCGAAAATGAATCTTGATGTGAATGGAAGGGGAGAGGGAGTGGGAAAGGGGAGGGTTGCGGGTAGGAGGGACGTTATGGGGGGGAAGCCATTGTAATCCATAAGCTGTACTTTGGAAATTTATATTCATTAAATAAAAGTTTAAAATAAAAAAAGTTCTATTTATTTGTTTTATTTGAAAGGCAGAGACAGAAAAACAGAGAACTCCATCTCTGTTAAATTCCTGAAAGCCTGCCACAGCTGAGGCTAGAGCAGGCCAAAGCCAGGAGCCAGGAAGTCAATGTAAGTCTGCCACATGACTGGCAGGGACTGGCTACTTGAACCATCACCCGCTGCCTCCAGGGGGCTCACATCAGCAGAAAGCTGGAATCCGCAGCAGTCAGGACTCAAAGCCAGGCACCCCAATACAGGATGTGAGCATCTAAACAGGTGGCGTAACCACCAGGCCAAGTACTCGTCTAACGTTACTTACTGCCTAAGGATTGCTTGGCTGTCTGTTCTGATCCACTATTAAGGGAAGCTGGTGTTTTTCTGCCACCTACCACGGAAATTGATAGTCATGACATCAGCCATGGAACCTGAGACCCCACCCTATGCCATGATCCCTGACCTCTTGGGTCCACAATGTCACCTCACGGCAGTCTGAACCCCATTCTCCTTTCACACAGAGAAGTTCCAACACAATGTTCAGGATGAAGCCCACTTTCGTCCCCCTAAGCAACACCCTGGTTTGGAACACACTGGAGGACTCTCTCAGAAGCCTCCAACACACAGAGCACATACAGTGTGAAATGTGTTTCTGAAAACAAAGATCAACATGATCTGAAGACACGTAGCTCAAGACCAAGTGCTTTCCCTCATTCAGAATAGTGATAGTCTTTTTCCCAAACTTTATATCATAAAGCATTATTTCATTTCTAACCATGGATTTTTGTTACTGAAATTCTTTGATACATTCAACCCCTCCAAAATCATCTGAGAATCATGAATAGAAAACATTTCCCCCAAAGTACTCTATAAAGAAGCTTTCGCCTTTTATCCTGCTCTCTACTTGACACTCATTTTTCAGGTTTCTCTCTTATAAACTATTTGAATAATCCAAGTAGTTGTTGGAGACGATCACTAGCTTGAGACAACCTTCAGGTCGGTGTGAGGGCTTTCGAGGAGTCACCCAACAGGATCAGTAAGATAAAACAGATGTGAAGAGGTGCTTCCACCTGTGTATGCTGTGATCTAGGCCATGAATGGAAATCTGTTAGTGCATTACATGTAGTTGCCACATATCACGCAATACGCAACCAGAGAGGGAAATTTAGAGCATCTTACTGAGCACATTACTGGGGCCTGAGAGGTTTCCTGGGACAGCAGCAGCCATGGGTTCAAGAAGAGTTTATCTGTAGAACTCGATGGAAGTAGAAATAACCCACTCTGGAAAGTGGGTAGTTCACTCAACACATTCTTCAGTGGTGACAAAACCACTCACAAAGGTGCACATGAAATAATACCGCATGCTTTCATAACACTCAAACAGAAGGGACAATTTCCAAATTGATGAGACTACAAATATTTGGAACTCTACTCATGAACTTTATAAGTAATCATTTACTATTTCCTCTATAATCCTCAAAATTTATATCTTCCAGTTGGTCAAAAATACATTTTTTATCTGTTCCTGGGTACTCCCATAGGTGAGATCACTTTGTTCGTTTTTTTTTAGCACAGGATGGAAAGAACTACTTTCTATAGTACAGTGTGCTTAAAACTAAAATTCTCTTTTCCAGAGTTGAAACTCCTTCAAATTCAGTCTTAGATATTTAGAAGCTATACAAATACTGTGCAACTGTTTCTGTGTGGAAGGCAGAAATTGAGTGGACTACATACTAAAAATATGATTATAAAATTGCATTTTCACATCAATAGATACACCTGCACTCCATAACACACTTTGGGTTTTTTGTTTGTTTGTTTTGACAGGCAGAGTGGACAGCGAGAGAGAGAGAGACAGAGAGAAAGGTCTTCCTTTGCCGTTGGTTCACCCTCCAATGGCCGCTCACTACACTGATCCGAAGCCAGGAGGACCCAAACACTTGGGCCATCCTCCACTGCACTCCCGGGCCACAGCAGAGAGCTGGCCTGGAAGAGGGGCAACCGGGACAGAATCCAGTTCCCTGACCAGGACTAGAACCCGGTGTGCCAGCGCCGCAAGGCGGAGGATTAGCCTAGTGAGCCGCGGCGCCGGCCCCATAACACACTTTGTATTCACCAGTTCACTTGATCAATCAGCATCAGGCAAGAAGACTACAGGTGAGTCTGCACAAGGTAGTAATTAGCCACGTGGAGAGTCTCCCCTTGCATGCAGGAATGTCTGGATCACTCTCAACATGGCAGACAGAATCCGCCGTGACGTATGTCCATTTGGACCTCCCTCTGAGAGTTCAAGTTAGTGAAGCATTAGAGACGTCCTACTAGATAAAGGCAGGGGCAAAGCGGGCCCAGGTTAGGCTCTGGGCCATGCCACAGTGAGGTGCCAGCCAGATCTGTTTCCCTGCTCAGATGTGCAAACCAGGCACACGACAGTGATTCAACACACAGAGACCCGCAGAGAAAAGGCGACCCGTGGAATGAATGCCCTCTGTGGTGCCGCAGAACGGCTCGGCCACCACTGTCGTGAACAAACGAAGGAGTCGTGACATGAACAATCCAGCATCTTGCAATCCCAGATACACTAGTACGCGATCAAATCTGGGTCAAATTACTAAAACTGTTGTGCAAAAATATGCATCAGGGGAAGAACTCCCTCCAGTCTTCATCACCTCGCCCCCACTCCGTGGGGAGGATCATGGCGGCTGTCTACCTGCTTCTGTTTAGCAGACAGTCTGCTGTGTCATAGATCTCGTCAGAGGATGAATCAGTCACAATAAAAACAGATTAATAACGGAAACGGTCAGTACCTGGGAAATCTGCGGCTAGGAGATCCACTGCCTTTAGAACCTTCACTTGTAAAATCCCAACGTCCTTCATCTCTCTCAGGGAGTTCTGCCAGCACTGAGTGGAGAGAGGGAGGACACAGATGAAAGCCACTTTCGCACACACCAGTTAACGCCGTGAGATCTCACAGCCAGAACATTCCAGACCGAGTTCCCCATTCTCAGGAAAATTCTTAGAAAAGTCCCCACAATGCGTTATGTCAGTCAATGGGACCATTAGGCATTTACAGCAGCCAAATTAAAAGAAAAGTGACTGAGAATTAATTAGCTGCAGCTTCCAAATAAACAAATTAGAAGCACATCCAATCTACTTCTAACATCGCCCCCTGGTGATAGCATAGATACCCCACGGTGAAAATGTGTGGGTAGAACTACATCCCGTGCCTCCCCCCTTTTCTTCCTTAATGCAATGTTTAAATCAGCCTAAACAGCAACATAATTCCGACCTCGTTAGTAAACCCTGTAAGGATTCCAGAGGACTGAACTTGGACCTGCTGTAATTATTACCACTGGAGAGCGAGGGGTGGAGACAGTGACTTTTCTGTTGCAAGTTTTCGCCAGTTCATTAGATTGCGCATCCACTATGGCTGTGCACGCACATGTGCTTTGATCTTCAGTTTGCATGAGCAAAGTTAAATACATCCAAGCATTCCTACACACACGTAACAACAGTTAAAGGTCTATGCATGTGGCATCCCTGAGAAATTGCACATGAAAGACATACACTGGGACTCTTCTCACCCCTCCAGCTGCCTCAAACCCTGCCGATGCCATTTCCGTCATCATTATCTAGCTGACATCCTGTGACAGCTGACTCCAGTGACTGATGGGGCGATAGCAAGATCCTTGTTATTTAGGCATTTCAAGGGTAGAATAACAAAAGCCTGCTAGTAGGCAAGGTTTGTCAACCAAAATGCATCATTTCTGAGAACGTTTGAATGCTGTTTCTCCTTTATATCTTCAACTTAACCAAATGCAAACACACTCACTAGTTTTTTCTTTTTTTTTTTTTTTTTTTTTTTTGACAGGAAAAGTGGACAGTGAGAGAGAGAGACAGAGAGAAAGCTTTGCCGTTGGTTCACCCTCCAATGGCCGCCGCGGCCGGCACACTGCGCTGATCCGATGGCAGGAGCCAGGTACTTCTCCTGGTCTCCCATGGGGTCCAGGGCCCAAGGACTTGGGCCATCCTCCACTGCACTCCCTGGCCACAGCAGAGAGCTGGCCTGGAAGAGGGGCAACCGGGACAGAATCCAGCGCCCCGACCGGGACTAGAACCCGGTGTGCCGGCGCCGCTAGGTGGAGGATTAGCCTAGTGAGCCGCGGCGCCGGCCCAACACTCACTAGTTTCTAACAGGATAGCACTCAAAACAAAATAGTTTTACAACTTAGATGTGGAAATGCTTGAAATATCATCACTTCTTCAGGCTGACAAACAAGCAGGGGTTCCGAAACTTCCTCTTGCAACACAGCACCCTTCCCTGTAAACATGCGGCTGGCTTGCCAGCTGAAGGCACCCGGTGTTTCCGTTTCTATTTCATCCTCTTCAAGAGTCTTTCCAGTAACATCTCCACAACTACCTGCCACTCAAAGCAGGAAGTGCTTCTAGTGTTACTTTACAAACACAAAACAATCCTCATGAATTTTGGAAATTTTGCAATGTATCCACAGGAAAACTTGAGGAGGGCTTTATTTTCCACCATGAAACTTTCATTTAGTTAGCTAGCATGAATATTAATAGTGATTTTTGGCAAAACTTCTTCAAAGGATGTCGGGCTGGCCCACAGGATTCGAGCTGATTGGTTCCAATGCACCTGCACGGTGAAAGATGCTGGAGGCGCTGACGTTGACACTCAGGATGATTCTGCCCCTGAGCGGGGGATCTGTGTGTCTCATTTTCATGCCACCTTCCTAAACCCTGCCTTCTGTGACAATAACACAAGCATATCAATATCTAAGAGGATAGTATAAAAACAGAATGCACATAAAGACACCTGGAAAGCTGGAGCATAGAAAGTAAATGAACAGGACAAAGATGGTTGATCTAAAAATGCCAAGTGGACTTTTCAGCATGTTACAGTCACATAGAGGGGAAAAAAAATCACACACTGCTCTTATTGTCCAGGGTAGTACAGAAAACCACCCCTCATGCCAGTCTAGGGCCTTGCTTTCCAACGCATGAGCAGGTTCTCACTTGAACCTAATGGGTTCTGGAAAGGCCCCTAAAACACCACAAATAGTAATGGTTGGTTTAAAAAAAAAAGTCACTTTTGTGAAGTTAAATTAAAATTCCTGTTTGCATATGCAGACCACAGATTTCGGCGGTCTGCTTCCTTACAATGTCCTCCAACAGTTTAAAAGAGCTCAACACTGCAAATACCATTTTGGCTTTTAAAACTGCAAGGCATGGGCCAGCACTGGGGCTAACCGGTAAAACCTCCACCTGCAGTGCCAGAATCCCACATGAGCATCAGTTCCTGTCCTGGTTGCTCCACTTCTGATCCAGCTCTCTGCTGTGGCCTGGGAAAGCAGAAGAGGGCCCAAGTCCTTGGGCCCCTGTACCTACATGGGAGACCTGGAAGAGGCTCCTGGCTCCAGATCGGCCCAGCTCCGGCCATTGCAGCCATTTGGGGAGTGAACCAGAGGATGGAAGACTTTTTCTCTCTCTCATTTTCTCTGTCTCTCCCCCTACCTCACTGTAACTCTACCTTTCAAATAAATAAATCTTAAAAAATAAATGTATTAAAAAAAAAAAACTGAAGGCAAACCCTAAGCCTACTTTTGCCTTCTCACTAATGCACTGACTCCTACATCTCATGTCTTGTTTTAGGAGACATATGACTTAGGATGAAGATCTCTTTTGATGTAGTTTTTCAATTCACATTCTTTTCAGATCAAAAGGGGAACAGGATAGGTGGGAGTAGCTCAACAAGGAAAAGCACTCACGTATCTCTGAGCGATCTGCTCCCTCTCGCTGGGGTCTGCTAACGGGCAGACACACAGATCAGAGATGGAGACGCCCGCACAGGGCGTCAGGGTGATCAGCAGGAGCAGGGCTCCCACACAGTTGTCCAGTGGCAGCTCCAAGCAGTTGTCTTGCTTCAGCGGGAGTGCAGAGATGTCCACTTTACACCTGAAAAGTTAGAGGAACCAGAGAGAGAACAGTGATGAACTCAAGGACACTGTGGCGCCTCCAATGCACCTGCTTTCTATTTCATAATGCATTCCCAAGTCACCACCACCACCACCACCACCACCACCACCACGGCTCACTGTGTCTGGGCTCAGGTTTACTGAGTAGTGAAGACTGCAGGAGCTCCCCTGGCTCCTAACACTCACTCCCAGCCTCACACACTCACACAGTGAGGGGAGAAAAGGCAGCAAATCAAAGGGAAAGCAGAATCAGGGGATGGCAAATGAGAAGAGCAAAGCAGGGTCCTTGGCAAATAAGAGCTGCAGAAAGACAGGGAGAGCAAGAACTAGGGAAGACAGAAGTCTCTAATCTGAAGCACTCTGCACTCTTTCCTGAGCTGTGTCTGATAAGGGGGAAAAGGATGAAGGATCAGAATTCACAAAAAGGAGGGAAAAAAAGGAGACATCCGAGAAAGCATTTTCTTCCCGGTTAATGCCAACTGGCCAATCTGCATTTTAAAAAAGCTGCTCAGGTGTTTCCCTTACAGGCATGGTTCCACGGGGGTTCCCCCGCGTGGGCGCCTGTGGACAAACGGAGCGTGCAGTGCTGTGGGTAGATCCCGTCTCGGCTCCTGCCAGCAAAGGCTGAACCCATCTGCTACTAACAGCCCGTGTGCTGCGGATGCTGGCAATCTCGCACACATTGAAACGCAGAAGCAAACACCAAAAAGGGTTCCAGGTGCTAAGCCACCCAGTCGCTCTCACCCTGGGAAGCTCTGGGTTTGTGGGGACCACGCCTACCATGCAAGCGTGAACAGGTGGGTGAGGCAGGCAGCAGTGGGCAGGCAACCTTGTGTAGCTTCCAGATGGAATTTCTTTAAAACTTCCTGTTTGCCCTTTATTATTACAGGACATGATGAATATTCAAGACTTTGAAGACAGAAGCACTGCTTCTTACAATGAGCAATGACTATGGGACCCTATGCTAATCTCCTGCAGGCTTCATGTTTGTGAATAATCAAATAGTTAAACTTGTATGATACAGGGATCTTCCAAAAGGGCATGGAAAACGTGTATCAGGAAAAATACTTTGCATGGATTTAGAAATTATTCTGTGCCAAATTTAACTTATTTAGTTGCACCTGTCCACAAAAAGTAAAGTTTTGAGCCATGTGGATGTGGAAGCAAAACACCCAGTTTAATAAATTTCAAAGCAAGCTTGCATTCCCCTTTCAAATTAAGAAGAAAAAAATCAATTACATTAAAAGTCTGTATCAGCTTTTGTTACAGTTCCAAAATCATTTTAGAAATTGTTACGTGCCTATAAAATTAAACACATATGGGTATTTATTTTCTATTTATCAAAAATGACTTCAGTTAGACAGGAAGTGATCATAACTTTATGCAGGTAATAAATTCATAAAATATTTCTATTGGAGACAGCATATAAAAGTATGTTTTTAAAAAAAAGCTCTATAATTCGAATCAAAACATTTTTCTGTAGCAATAAAGAATATTTTAATTTTAAATTTTACTACCACTGATGAAAACAGAGGTTATTAACTTTTTATTTCATAAGCAATTATGGAAGCAGGGAAGTTTAGAAAAGAAGAAATATCAAGTGATTTAACTATGCCATTTCTAGAAAACTAAGTACCTATATAATCTTAACCACTAGTGTAGTAGATCTGCTTAGGAATGCTTTACTAAGTGTTATTTTACATTCTTATGGACACTCTCATTTAATAAACTTATAAGAATTTTCTCTGGCAATCACTGGAGTCTAAATTAGCAGTAACATTTGTGGCATGTTCTTTGTAATATCATTAATAATGATGATTTATTTTTGTCCTTTGAATGTGTGTGTGGTGTTGTGGTGGTGGTCTTTTTTGTTTTTAACAGCCAAAAATTGTTTTGAGACAAGTGATCTAAAAGTGAATAATGTCTGTGGGTCAAAAGTAAGCCAGAAGTAGGCAATAATAAAGCTTCCTTGGATAAATCAAAGTATACCTGGTATTTAGAATAATCTAATAAAACACTGGGGAATACCAGCGTATTTAGAAGGACTTTGCAAATGTTCCTAGCGGCTGCATACATGCACAACTTGTTGAGACAGAACACGTTGCCATTTTAAACAAAAGCTGAACCACATTCTAAACAATATGCAAAGTAACTACTGGATTTCTTTTCAGAAACAACATTTTTACAACTTTTCTGTTCCCTGCAATCATTCCTGTCCACTGTGGAACTTTAGATTTATCTCCCCTTTACAGATGATTTTGCCCATGAGGAAAGAACGCCTACGTGCAAAATGGCCACGCCTCGTTTAGGTGTCAGAGCCTCGACGCACCACACTGAGGATTCTGGTGCCAGCTTAATGGAGTCTGCATTCTCCGTTAACTGATGACAGAATTCATCAAATACCCACTTTGACTTTCTCAGTAACTCGAAAGAGCAAATTAAACTGAAGCATGATATCGGCATCACACCAATCCCAGTTAAAACCTGGTCCCTTTGCAGAGAGCTTATACCCAAGCCTTGGGGGCCTTGCCCCAGGCTGTCAATGGGTGTCTTGAGAAATAACTTCCAGCAACTCCCTGGTTTTAACAACCTGGCCCTCCGTGAAGATGGCTTCCCATAAACTTTCTGCATCTTGTCTACCTGCCTGGCTCTGTGATTTATCCTCATCTTCTGAAAAAGAAGAGGAGAGAAGTCTATCTCCTAAGTCCTCTTGATCCGGCCTCCCTTTTACTCTGCTTCAACCTCTCCTCCAGATAAGGAAAGCCAGACACTCGGGAGGCTGGCCAGAGGCTGGGCAAGTTATCTGCACAAATCCCAAGTGAGCAAGGGGCTTTATCCACAAACCACCAAAGAGAATGTTTTAACAAGGCACCTTTCCTTCAAAATACCAGACCCGCCTACCACCATCCTCATCCCGTCTCCAGGAGAGGCACAAAGTGGACAAGTGGCTCTGTGCCTTTCTCAGGTTGAGGCAAAGACGGATCTAAAATCCTTCAGATGTGAACATTTTATAAGACATTTATTGGAAGAATTTTTTAACATAAAACATCTTGAATGGAGAATCCAGGCTGCTGCTTTTCCAGTTTCCCTCCCTGTCCCAGACTCTCCTAGGAGTACACTCAGTAACTTGGTTGGTCTCTCCCTTTGTCCTACTTGTTACTGAAGGCTCGAAAAGCGTTTGCTATCGTCCTAGGCTATTTGTCATCTCTTGGCTACCTGCTGGGGTGGGGCACGAAGCTTTCTCACACGACACCATTTTTTCCGAGAAGGGTCAGGAAGTAAAACAACTCTGGTTCGTGCTCCTGATGGATTCTGTTGCAACAACTCAACTCTGCTTTTATACTACGAAAACAATTACTAGACAACTTACACAAATGAACAAGATTGTTTTCCAATAAAACTTTATTTACAAGAATAGGCAACCATGTGGATCTGCCCAGGACCCCAGTTTGCCAGACTGTGATCTGCAGAAACCCTAGTCAATCAGCTGTGGTGCATGATACCACTGGGAGTTTAAAATAAAAACTGCAAGGTTGCTTGCAGATTATACAAACTCATTGATAAAGGTTATCAAAGGTATTAACCTGTTGGTTTTTAAACATTTTTTTTTTTAAAGATTTTTATTTGAAATCAGTTTCATAGAGGCAGAGAGAGGAGAGAGAGGAAAGAGGAGAGGAGAGAAAGAGGTCTTCCATCAGCTGGTCCACTCTCCAAATGGCTGCAATGACTGGAGCGGGACCTATCTGAAGCCACAAGCCAGGAGCCTCCCCCAGGTCCCCTGCTCAGGCTCAGGGGCCCAAGTACCCAGACCATCCTCCACTGTCCTCTCAGGCCACAGCATAGAGCTGGATCGGAAATGGAGCAGCCAGGACCTGAACCAGCACCCACATGGGATGCCGTCACCACAGGCGGTGGCCCCACCCACCACAACTCAGCACTGGCCCCTAACCTGTTGGTTTTAAAAAATGATTTGTAACTTACTCCAATTCAACAAACTTTGATCAAAATATCCAATGATCCCCGTATTAAAAATAAAACTTATGAAATCCCTCTTCTCACTGATAGAGACACAGTGGAAAACACACAGAGCACCTCCACAAGAAAGAGGATGAATGAGCATTAACCCATCAGCTCTACCCCTTGGCATCCTGTGTGACCTCACACACAGGGGGAGCGACCACGTCTGGAGAAATCACTCAGAAGGTGCATCACAGGGCCTTAGATGACCAGGAAGTTCTACTCCAGCCCGAGATCTCAGAAGTCAGTGTGGGGAGCTCCGGTGATACCAGATTTGCATGATGGAAAGAAAAACTGCAGTCACTGATGTGTGTGTGCTTGAACAGGGGCGACCCCTGTTCGTTTGCACAGGCTGGAGTCCCCGTGGCTCTGTGACCACACTGGTTCCTCCCTACGTGGCCTCATCAGGCAACATCACCAGCCCTCTCCTCTCCAGCCAGGTGTCTCCCAGCGGATGTGACTCTTCCCTGTCCACGTCTTTGCTCCCCCTTCACTGCTCTCCTGGACAGTCTCTTGGGCAGGCTAATGACCATCGGTCCTACAGGCTTGGAGCCCTCCTGTTCCCAAACGCTGCCCCATAGGAGCCCAGGATTTTCCAGGACTCCAGGGTCCACAGCCCTCGCTCCGACACTGCCATGGCCTGGTTACTTGCAGCCTCCCAGAACTTACCAGTGCCCTGGCCTCAACCTCTCTATCGTCTTGCACTGAAACTTCAGCACCCTGGCCGGATTGTAAGTTTTGCTGAATGAAATGAACATGTGAACAAATGAATGCCAGGGGCGTAATGAAACTCACAATGTCAAAAAATCTGAATGATAAAGCCAGTGCTTTGTGCTAACTGAATCCTTTACAGCCTCTGTCTCTTTCCCTAAGAAAGAAAAATTGGAAAGAAATTTATTCCCTAGGTGTGTCTCCTAGATGGAAAATTCTAAGGTTCTCCTTATGTACCTAAAGAAAACAGAGACTAAATTACTTTTTCTTCCTGCAATGGGCATGCATGAAAGCAGTGAATGTGCTGATTTAGCATTGTTTCTGACCTCCTGTTCTTGTCTTTCTCCATTAATCCCACAGCATTTTAATGTTTTAATTCAACACATAATTTTACCGTATCAGTCAGCCAAACCTTCTCAACTTTTACTTGCCATGATAGCTTTTAACCTCTTACTCATTACCGTAATTCTATGCTTTATATTACAGACTGGTCAGCTCTTAACTTAAATGCAAGGGGCAGGAAAGAGTGCTATAGTTTTAAAAGCTGTAAATCTCAGAGGCTAAGGAAGCGGTGAACAGGAAGAAAATGGTGAATGTGTCAGGCCAGGCTGTAAAAGCAGATCAACGACACGGGGTGCAATTTGTCCGGAGAAATACTCAGCCCAGGCTGTGTACTGCCTCCCAGCCCCTAATAAACTGGGCGAACAGCAGAGCCACTTTACAAGGTACCTCCTGGGATGAGGGAGTAACTCAAGACAAGTCAGTCAAAACAGCCTAGCGGAGGCACGCTCGTAACCTGTCCAAACCAAATAATGTCTAGAATATTCTATGGCAAGTAAATCTCCAGGATCACCTTGAGATGGAAAGCCAACTTTAACAAAATGGTACAGTCACCTTGAGATGACACGGGTTACAATGGAATCATTTATATGCACCTATTACATGTCTTCTTGGCATTTTCGTTTAAGGGTGGAGCAGGTGAAACATAGCCTCGTGTCTGACCCCTCAAAGTTCACTGTTCCTAATCTCAGGTGCTGATCTTGGTTTGTTTGTAGGTGCTACGGTTTACATATGGTTCGCTCCCACCAAAACTCAAGTGGGAACGTGGTTCTCAATTTGAGGGGTTGAGGTGCTGCAACCTTTATGACCGGATTACCGCTTTCCACAGGGAATGAGTTGTTCCTGGATTCGTCACCATGAGAGTTGGCTGGCTTAAAGCAAGGTCGTTCCAGGTGTGTGGCCTCCCCTGCTGGTGGCACCTGTCCTGTGACACCATCCACCACACTGACAAAGTCAGAAGGCCCTCCCCAGGAGCCAATGCAAGCAACACACTCTTGGTCCTCCAGAGCTCTGAACTAAATCATCCCCCTTTCTTATGCAACGCCCAGAATCACCAAGTAGACGACAACAGTAGGTGGCACCGTCTCAGGGGACGTTGTGACTTACACCCTTCATCTTCCCCTCCTCCTTGGAAGTTACACGTAGCTCCACGAGAGGACACGGGCAGATGGACTAGGGCACAAGGAAAGTCAGAGAGCTCCGTGTGACTCAGGAGAGCCTGGGAGACCTGGACACCCAACAGGATCATAGCTGACCACCACCAAGTTAACAACTACTGACATCAATGTGATTTCTCATCATGTAACCAACCACTACACTCACACAAACACAGCCCCATAGCCCTGTGCTGCTCTACCTAACCTATCAGCCCCAGTCAATGAAATGTCCTTCCTTCCGGGTTCTTGAAGATATCCACTGCTCACTACCAAAAAAAAAGTTTTTTACTGTTATGGGAAAACATAGTTTGATACACACACTAAATTTCAGTCATATTTCATTTACTTAAAGCACATGATTTTAGTGGCAAGTATTGTGAAGATTTATAGTTGCCTTGCGGAAGAAAAAAAAGAAAATATTTACCACTTGAGTACTCAAGGATAGACAAAGTGAAATAGACTGTGGTCATCATAGTGACCCCACAAGTTGGCAGGTGACCCTGCTAAACGGACAGGGAGTCAGACCCCACAAAATTCATTGTCCAAGGTCACATGCGGGGCCATGGCAGGGAGGCTCACTTTGCGGTATTTGTTTGCTCCCAACAACCTGCCTACATCTCAGGGAAGAGAATTTCCTTAGAGGGGCCCTCGAGACCTTTAAGTCATTATCAGGATGTTGTCCAAAAAAACAAATAAGGGACAGGCCTTAGGACACAAGTAAGATTCTCACTGTTCAAGAGCCTCCTGGCTCAAAAGGACATTTTCCCAACAGTTGGAAGACAAAACAGATGAGCCTTAAAATGAAAGCCACAAAGGAAACAACAATGACCAAAACAGAGTTCAAATATGTAAAAGGCAGTTAATGAGAAGGAAGTGTGAGAAAAGCGTCAGCCCCATGGCCGTGTGGGCACCTTCTCTGCTTCAAATCTGAGAAGCCGTGTTAACACCGTGAAGGGCAAGTTCACTCAGAGAGAGGCCGTGGGGCCAGCTCCCCAGGGGACAAAGGAAAAGGACACCAAGGTGGGCAGCGGCGGGGGTGGGGAGATCCCTTAAAACCCATGAGGAAGAACAGAGTGGCCTCCTAGGTAGGTACAAGGCTGTCACAAACAGGAAATGTCTAAAACAATCCATAATACCAAAGCACAGAATAAAACGGACATCTTACACTATTTTTGTCTCTGTGAAACCACCCACCACTCATCTGCGGAAAGCACTCCCTACGATGTGGCTGGAACACAACAACGCAATACCATGGAAAATGCAAGGGCACCATTCCTTGAACGACGAAACAACAGGCCAGCAGCCCAGATTCCCATCCTGCAGATAACACTCTGGACGCAGTGTCCTCTGCACTTGCGTAAGTGACCCTTGCCCTGAGGGCTAGTGCAGAGGGCTTCCTCAGGACACAGGAATGCCACTCTGCTGACCGGGAGGCATGCGCTGAGAAGAGCCCGAGGCATCTCAGTTGTAGGTGCGGTGGAGGCAGGAGAGGCAAGGTCAGACGAGTAACCCAGCAGCAACATGGGACCACGGGAGACTTCCTGCGGGAGCTGGAAAGTGGGGCATGGCCTGGTGTGCAATCCAGATGCCCTTACCTGCCTCGTAGCTGAGCAGTGAAGACAATGGCTGCTGCCTGCCAGATAAGCCTAGGGTGGGGATGAGGCACCCGAGCAGAGCAATGCCTCTGGAGGTCAAGGAGCACAGGTCTGGGCAAGTGTCATTGGTGCTGCCCCGCCAGCAGGCGTGTGGACATGTGTCACCAAGCAAAGGCAGCGTGTGTGTGTGTGTGTGTGTACACATTTTCTGCACAATCGTGGTGCTGAGAGCCAGATTCAATAAACAGCCGGAAATACGTCACAGGGTCTGTGCAATGGAGATCTCTGCTGGGAGGAAAGCTCCATCGGTCTGTAAGTCTTGACCTGGCTATCTCGGGTAAGCCAGAGGTGGGATGGGGTGAAGACAGCGGGCAGAGCCCATGCTCTGGGTGTGAGAAGCTGGCTAAGCATTGCACAGAGGAAAATCACTGCGTGAGGCATGGAGTTAACACGACCTCGCCCCATCTCTCCAGTGAACCCCTTGCTGCTGCTGGAAAAACCCCGCCACCTCCGGGGGCTAGCGGATTTCCTCACTGTAAAATGAAAGGGTGGTACTGGAGGGGTGGTTTCCCACCTTTAGCTTTCAGCAATAAGGCCCCTTCCACAAACAATCTTTTTCTTTTTTCTTTTTTTGACAGGCAGAGTTAGACAGTGAGAGAGACAGAGAAAGAGAAAGGTCTTCCTTTTTCCGTTGGTTCACTCCCCAAGTGGCCGCTACGGCCGGCACACTGCACGGATCCAAAGCCAGGAGCCAGGTGCTTCCTCCTGGTCTCCCATGCAGGTGCAGGGCCCAAGCACTTGGGCCATCCTCCACTGCCCTCTCGGGCCACAGCAGAGAGCTGGACTGGAAGAGGAGCAACCGAGACAGAATCCGGCGCTCCAACCGGGACTAGAACCTGGGGTGCCGGCACCGCAGGCGGAGGATTAGCCTAGTGAGCCGTGGCGCCGGCCTGCAAACAGAATCTTGACACAGAGCATGGGAAGGAGTGGACAGGCTCTGGCCCCAAACGTGGCAGTGAGAGCCCCTTCCATTCCACACAGGGGACCCAAGTGCTAAGTCTCAAACAGAGACTGGATGCTGTTGGGATTCCTTTCAATGTTTGTGTCTACTTTTATTACTTGTATACAAAGTGTGTGAATCTAGGGTGAGCAAAGGCAGTGATTTGGTGGAAAGGACTTGTCTTCAGGCACACAGGGCCCTGACTCAAACCTGTTTCAAGCCTGTGGCCAAGTCACTGGTATGCGTCTTGTGCGCCACTTGCTCACCTTTTAACTGGGCACAAAGCCGCTAGTTTACATGGCTGTCCTAACGGTCAAAGAGAGGCAATGCCTGCAAGGTCACTTCATTGTGTTCTTCCTCACAAGACTGCAGAGACGCTATCTTGCTCACTACTGCCCCCGCCACACATGGGTGAGCCCCTTGATTAAGCTGGCAGGGTCCAAAGTAGAGAAATCAAAGTAAACTGATTTGGCCTCAGTGGATTCTATTAGGGCTCGCTGCAAGGGACATCTACGATGCTGGAACGTTTTCTTCACGTGGGCACCCTGCCTTAAGGCTTTGTTGTATTACAGATCATGTTTCAGTAAGCAGCAAAACCAGCATTCAATTCTTTACTGTACATTTACATGAACAGGTCCCAAACACTCTGCAATGACACGCTCTCATTCTTCAGAGAGTATCTGACGGGCCACCTTCCACTTTAATCACCCCTAAGTGTCATTTATCAATTCAAATAAAGCAAACCAGACAAAAGAACACAAATTTTCCCATCAGGACTGCCGTCCTGGGGCTTGTTGGGGGTTGGGGGATGGGGGAGGGGCAGGGGGTACACAGAGCACAGGCCTCAGTGTGGGCACCCCACGCAGACACACGCTCCCGCGCTTAGAGGCAGAGCAGACTCACGTGCCCAGACGTTCCTGGTGCTTTTTGCTGTCCTTTGCCCACACTTCAATGTCCAAAATGCCCATCCTGTCAGAGAAGTAGTGAAAGTCAAACTGTTCCTGCCACTGCGGATTTGCACTCTTACACAGTGTCTAGAAAACATGCAGTTATGACATTTATTTTCTTCAAACACCACTGTGAAAGCAGCTACACAGTCATTGCATTTCTAAGCTGCAGGGGCTCCCGACGCTGAGCTCACCCCACGCCCCTACAAACTCTCCATCTCGGCACAGAAAGAAATTCCAGGGCTCAAGAACTGACACAGCATTACTATTTCCTTGCCTGGCCTGAGAGTCAGGAACACATCTGCCTGAATACAGAGAACACTGCTGTCTGCAGGAAGCCCTCGAACCTCAGCGACATGAACGCGTCAGGAGCTGGCTTCGGTTGCTCTCTCTTACAGAGGCAACATCAAGCTCTTAATCAAATGCACATAACATCTGTGTTGGTATTTTCATTCATTATTAGCTTAAGAACTATATAAAATAACAGTTTGGGGGTCTTAATTAACATCTGTCTGAAGCATTCAAGGAGAAACCTGTATGTCATACACAGCCACCTATTTTGAAACCTGAAGTCATGAAACTCGGAGGAAGACTGCAAAATTCTGCTGCAGCCAAACTTATAAATTAACCAGAGGACGTGAAACCCACCCCAACCAGTGTTTCTTGTTCTCCAACAGTGACTCCAACCTGATCGTGGGCTTGTGTCACTGCAGTGTTTTCATTTATTTAGAAATTCAACGTGTGCATCAAAAGTGTGCAAGCCCATGGGTCACTGAGTGAGGCTCTGATGGCACACACCAGGGTTAAACCGACCCCAGCACCAGCCATGGTGGCCAAGGAAACACAGGGACAGCTCGGGCCTCAGCAGTAGCCCAGGCCTTGTATAATCATTTAACCTGTTTTCCCCATCAGGCTTCAACACCAGAGCACAGGATTTAGAAAGCGGGAAGAAAAATAGAAGCCCATTACATCACAAACTAAACACAGTGTTCCCCACCCGTGAATGCAGCCAGCAGGGCACTAATTCTACATTTCACTCGAGTGCAATGGGCTAAGTGTTTTTAGTGCTGAATAATTTTTCCATAAATCCTCAGCTTGACCCAGGCTGGCTAACGGAATCTTTGTGGAGGGTCAGGGTTCCCCTGGATACGCTGCCACTGTGAGGCTCAGACCACAACTACCTGTGGAAACTAATTGCACGTCTCTGTCAGAACTCCCCCTCCACTTTCTGCATTTCTCGTAAACTCTTCTCAAATACAAGCCTCAATCCTCAGGCCTCTGTGCTCCAGCAAATGAGATAGGATATTTGGGTTTGCACTGGAAGCGGTGCAGCACAGACAACTTTGTGCCTTTTCGCACTTGCCTGCAACTGTTGTGTTGCAGGTGCAAAGCTCCAAGTGCAACATCCCAGCCTCCTTGCAAAATGTGGCTTTTGGCAAGTGACTCCCAGCTTCCTCAGTTCAAAAAACACAGGAAATATTCCTGTCTGACAGTTATGTAAAACTAATCAATTACCATGCTTTGGAGACTGTGGCTTTTGAAATAAAATCCACACCAAATTACTAAGATTAGAAATTAAATGGAGTTTGATATTGATTTTTAAAGGGAAAAACTGCCCCGACTTTTGTTTAAAACACATCGCCTGTACTACTCCAGGCGGCTAATTTTTCAAAAGGATAACAAAAAGCAGCAGCGCTAGATATCTACTGTTAGTGTTTAGACTAAAAGGTAAGAGAAAGCAAAGTGAAACTTTTAAAATGTTTCCTGTTATCTCAAATGTTCAACACAAATATCATTATTATACTTTCATTTTTGCAGGATTTTGAAATCATCTAGTTATACCTTTTCCACATTCTCTGAAACAGTCTGCTTATTTTCAAAATGAAAATAAATCATGCATTTAAATCTGCGATTTAATAAGCTTTCTCTAGCTCCGAGTTGTTCTATTAAAATTCTATTAAGCAACAAAAATAATACTCATAAACTGCCTGCCTCTATGCAAGCAGTTTGCTTTCTGATAGCTTCCTTGCTATATTTAGGAGGGTCAGAGTGAGCTATTTTCGTTCCTGTGAAAGTCAGAGTTGAGAAGAATTTCTCCTCTTTTATTCCTACAGACATCTCCCTTCTACGGCACCGACAGAACTTACCTTACTCTTATACCTCTGGTCTCCCAGTTTTAACTGAACAAACATCTCGGCCATGCTGCCACAGGAGACGTTCCTGCCTTCCAGCAGCGTGATGCTTATAGTCCCATTCCAGAGTTGGTTCTTTCTCAAGGACTCTGAGAGCCGTAGGTTGCGTATCAAAGAGGACTAAGAAAAACAAACAGAGGACATATGAATGTGCTGATAATTCTGGAGAGTGGCGCTGGCGATCACAGGGATCCCCACTTTCCACACGCGATAATGAGGACCAGCACTCTCCACTGGTTCTGCAAACCTGCAGTCACAGTGATGTGCCGTGCTTGGACTTGGAACAACATCACAAAGGATGAGCACAGGCATCCCTTTGATTGACGCTGGCCTGGCCTCCCCCCGGGTGTGATCTTTGGTAGGAGCAACCTCAAATGGGCCTTTAGCTATGTTAGTAGTAGGAAGGAAAGCAAGGCATTATGGGAAAGAGAGATCAGCAGGAGGCATCGGATTGCAGGGAGACCAAAAACCCAGGGGCATTGAGAAACAGGGGTTTTGCACTTTCCGTCACATTCAAATCTGTCCCAACTTTCCCTTATTCCTTAGGCTACCCCAACTTTAAATGCAGCCTGTAATGGCCTCCCTCGCCAAATGAGCTTTGCAGCACCAGCCAAGTGGGGTGGGGTGGGAGGAGGTGGAGGAGGTCGAGGAGGGGGATGGAAGACATGCATCTCACAGCACTCGGGACCCAGAGGGGTGTGGTAGCTGTTCCATTCATTTTTCCTTTTCTTAAATTATGGTATTCACACACACACATTCATACCTCAAACACATTGTAGTAAAAAGTTAAACAGCCCCTATTATTGGGAAGAAGATAATCACACTTTGTATTTAAGTTCTATTGTGTAAATTTTTAAGCATACACCAAGGTAAAGAGAACAGTATAAATCGCAACATACTTCATCACCAGGTTCAACATTTTGCTATTTCATCTAGCGCTTCATTATTTCTGGCTTTCATATTGTGTTTTAAAGAGGGTGGGAAAGAGCTGCCAGCTGAGTGGTTATTCTCCTTATACCTGCGGGGTCCAGGCAGCCAACATAAGGTCTCCCACATGGGAGGCAGGAACCCAACCACTTGCATGACCACTGCGGCCTCCCAGGGTTTACAAGAGGGAAGCTGGAGTCAGGAGGCGAGCCAGGGACCCAACACGGGCACTCCAACAGCAAACGTGAGCATCCGAACTGGCATCTCAACCACTCGGCCAAGCGCCCACCCCTGGCTAAAACATTCTCAAGCAAACCCGTATGGATGATCACAGAACCATGACGCCATGACCACTGTATGCCACTGAGTCCCCAGGGCATATCTGCATTTGCTCAGTGGCCTCAACAATGCCGTTTCATGGCAAGTGGTTGGACTTAGGGCTTCCACACGACCCATCTGCTGCCTGTAGCTGGTGCAGTTCACTCAGCACAGCCCAGGCTTCTCTACTGAAGGAGAAAGAAGTGGGTTAAAGGGTTGAAGCGGTCTGGGCAGCACAGTGGAGCAATGAATCTTTAACACTGTATATCCCCTCCTGTCACCCACTCGCTATGTCTTCAGGATCATTTAGACACCAATTTTCTCCAACACCAGTTAGTCATAATTTATCACAACAAATGGGAAGTCAGGGCCATATTAATTATCTAGCTGCTTACCTCATCCAACTACATCACACCATCCTCTCAAACTGTGCAACAACGCCACCACAGGCCTTCTGTCAGCCAGTTTAGAGGACTCAAGACAAAACATACTTAAGGAAATGCCTGCTCCCAAGTTTGCGATCCATGCTGCATTTCTCCTCCTTCCCTATCTCTGTTCTCTCTCTCGCTCTCTCTCTCACACACACACGCACATATTTTAGAAGTGCCAAGACAGAGAAATGAGAGCAAATAAGGAAAGAACTGATTTTCCAAAGGAAAATATGGAGAACTCACATAATTTTTAACTCCTATTTACAGCTGGATTTTGCATAGAACATATTAGCAAAGGTTTAGGAAAGCCAAAAATCAACCCATGTTATGCTTGTTAAAAGTATATCACATATCACAATATATGAGCTGAGAGATGTGTGTGTTTATCTATATAGTTGTAGACATAAGAAGTACATGGGTTGGCAACTTCTACCTTTAAAACGAAAATGGGATTTTTGATTCATATATCATACTGCAATTCCTTTTTCTTCTTCATCTTGAAGTTTGACTTGCCAGCCAACTCGCTAAAGCATGACCTGTCCCACGGCCATGCTGCAGAGTTCCGACAGATATATTCCTCCCTGAACACTGCAACTATTTCAAAATCCTTTTCATAAGACAGGGAGTCGTGTCCACAAAGGATCAAAGGGCATCCCACAGTGTGGCAGCTGCGTAAGACAAATGGCAGCACTTCCATGAAATATGCCCTAAAATAATGTTGTGGCTTGGTATGTCCTAATTTCAAATTGGATGTTTATCTTGGAAAGGCTTCTATCTAACTTGTCCATAAAACAGCCCCACTTAGCTCTAGGAGCTCTGTGAAAATGGAATCCAAAGCTGGTTATTAAGGGGCCTGCAGATAGGCTCCATATGGCCAAACAGCATGTGAGGGCAAGGCGGAGACCGGGACCAGGCGAGGTTTGGCTGGGGCTCCTGATCTATCCGTGGACACCCGTTCCATTATGCCACAACATCTGGATTATTGCTTGTAATGTCCCTGGGAGATATCCACTTTCCATCAAAGCCTTTATCTATCTCGGTCGGACTTTGAACATTTTAGTCTTTAACACAGTCGCGTTTGATCTGATGGAGCTGCTCTTTGCCGTCCAAGATTTTTTTTTCCATCTTCCTAAAAGTGGGGTGGAGAGGGAAAGGATTTATTACAGAGTTCACAGACAGAGAAGAACACAAGGTCCTTATCCTACTTACTTCACCCTAAATAGTTCTGCAAAAGCCACGATACATTTATCTCCAAAATAAGACCTCATCTGCGGGCTACACATTCTAGGCTAGGGGTGTGAGCGTGGGTGTGCTTTGGAAATTCTCTTCCATGCTGGAAGGCGTGAGCAGGCATGAGAGTGCCCGTGGCTGGGGCAGAGTCTGAGCCATCCTCTGTGTGCCGAGATGCAGGCCTGACCTCTCCAAGTCTTTGTTGCCCTTCAGACCCTCCTGTCCTCCCCATCATAAATTGGCTCATCTGCACTCACTCAGTTAGCTGAATAGCTCAGGTTTTCACGTCTGTGCCCGAGCCTGTGCGTGAAATTTGTCATCTTAATGCTGCCTGGAATGCGAAAGCAGAGAAGGAAATGACCCATCAAAGGGGAAGCCCACCCCACCTGAAGGCAAACACACACCAGGAGATAGCGCGAGGTTGCTGGGTCCTGACCCTAATTCCTCTGCAGCCATCAGGGAGAAAATACAGCGCATCAGGGTTCTGTTCTGTTTCTCCTTCCTCTCACAGGATCAGACCTTTTAGTCTTTCCGAGTTGATTCATTCTTCCGCTCTCTTCCTCAGCCCCCACCCCACCCAATGCTCACCCCTGCTCCAGAGACAGAATGTGACTTCCCTCCAAAGACACGCGCTAGGGACCGACAGCAAGAAAGGAGTGGTATTCATGCGAGATGTATTGATTGTCGCAAAAATTAAACAGCCTTGAAAATGCTAATTTCCTCCGGGTCATGACAATCCCATGGTCAAGGCAAGGATGGGAGGAAAAGGCGAGAGAATGAAAGTGAAACTACACACTGTGGAGTTCCCGCACCCTTTACATTGGAGGGGAATCCTCAGAAATGTCTGATCCAGGAGGAGACAGGTGCTCAACACAGGGGGTGACCTACCATTTCTGAGACCCAGGAAATGGACCGCAGCTCAGCTGTGTGCATTATCCAAACGTGATGTCTGAGGGGCATGCTGGGGAGAGGGTGATATGGGTTCCTTGCTGTGACTGCAGAGGAAAACCAGGGATGACAGGTGAGATCAGTGTGTCCCCTCTGCCCTGAGCCCGCAAGAGTGGCAAAGAGGTCTGGAGTAGAGAAAGACCCATAAAGGAGCCCATGGAGGCAGCAGCTGGGCCTGCAGCCCTCACAATCGAACCAAGAGTTCACAATTATGCCATGGTCTAGCCCTGACCACGCTGATCAAAATCTCAGATGATTATCCAAAATATTAACAAAATACCAAAAGAAAAACAGAGCGGGAGGGGGAGAGAGTGAGCTGAGAAGAAGCCATGAAGTGTACCTATTTCGTACCAAATACCGTGTGTGTACGTTTTCTAAGGTGGTCAGCCCATGTTGCCACGGCATCCCATTTGGAACCTAATTTTTCCAAAGCCATTCTGAGAAAGCAGGTGCCAACGGAAACATACATGAAAAAGCTACCTTTGTAAGCAAAACGAAGAGTACAGCAAGACTCCAACTACACTGACGGCTGTTTTGAAGAGCGAAGGGAAAGCGTTCATCCTGTAAAGCTTTCACCGAGCCCCCCTTCAAGCTCTCGGAACATGTGAAACCACTGTTGCTTGTCAACAGCTCTGCAGCAGCGCATGAGAAGATCCACCCCTTGGTGGAGCAGCTCACAGGCACCGGCCTCCCCGGCAGCCTCTTATATCATCTGAAGAGCACGCTGGAGGCATAAATCCTCCCTGGACTCCGCGGACATCTTTGCATGAGGATGTAAAGAAAGCCTTTTAAATTTCCCACATGTCCATGTCCATGTCCATGGAAGATAAGATTTATATTTGTAGCTGAAAACTGTGTCACAGTTCCATGGATGTGAGCAATCTATGTGTACAAATACATTAGTTGGCGATAATGCATTAGCATTTTATTAAACTGTATATTTTTAATTATAAGGGAATAGCATCCTTCAAGTTTTGCACTTAAAATAAAAATGAGATTAGCTGAAGATTAAAAGCATAGATAAAGGCTGGGAATAGCCCATGACTCTGGAGTTTAGGATGGGAAAATATTTCAATATGTTTCCTACTAGGAACAAAGAAAACAATACTAAAGGTCAAGCAATCAACAATACTTTGTCTTTTCCCTGACCTCTAGGCAACTCCAGGTCAAACGTTGTGCTGCTATACATCAGTATTTCCCATCTAATATTTCTTAATTCATCCTTCTGGCACTCACATTGCTGTTCCATTTTCTGTTTTTCACCATTTCTTAAAATAACTTTGAAAGCACCTCCACCCAGAGCAGAAGGCAGGTGCAGGCTGGCACCTCAGCCTGAGCACACCTGTGCATTTCACACCACAGGCACCACCTGCCTGGCCTCTAACCCCAGCCCTTCTCCATCCACCAAACAGTGAGTGGCCACTGCTACTGGCCCACAAAGCTGCCCCTCCTGGCCTCCCGCTTTGCCTCCTCCTCTTCCCAGCACCCCACTCCCTGCTCTTGTCCATCCCAGGGAGCCTCACACCCGACTGTGCTCCAGAGCCACCTGGAGGTCCTGCTCAAAGAAGCTGCACTGCTAAGGACGGCCAGATGCAGATGGCCCAGGGGCCGGTCCTGAAGACCAACTGCTTAGAGATTTGGATTAAATTGTTTGGAGTCTTTGTCTTGAGCCGCACATTAGACTGTGAATGAATCTCAACTCATTATCTCCTCCTTCTCATTCAGTAAGATTCACTCCAGGCTTCTCTGAAAAGTTCCCCAAGCCTGCCATCTAGCCCACCTGCTCTCCTGCAAGGTCATTACAGAACTGCACTGCACCTCCCAACTATCCCATTTCTCTACTTCTCTCCTACTAGCCCATCAATTCTAAGTCTTTGTGTCTGCTCATCCAGAGGTTTGGGGGCAAGACAGTCTAATAGTCTAATTCACTGACAGGGAACAGCTGATGTGATGTTTAGGAATGCAGGGCCTCTGTCCTCCTGGCTCAGAGCACACCACGCTTAGAGAACCCCGACAGACTGACGGTCAGACCTGAACAGGACTGCACGCTCTGGAAAGGAAGAAGGCCTCTAAAGGCCAGTCTGCCCAGGCCAGTGCTGACCTGGACTTCACAACGCACAGAAATATCAGGGTTAACCCAACCAGCAGTGGGTTTGCGCAGAGCCACATCCAGGTAGTCAGAGAGACAGGAGATAGATGATCCATAAATAGATGATAGACACATGAAAGAGATGACAGCTGAGACACTGGTATGCTTGGGATCATAGATAAGATGCATGCATACATAGTTTGGATGTAGATTAGATATACAGGTGAGAAAGACAGAAAATATACAGAGGGATGTTCCTTCCAAAACTCTTTGATGGCTCACTTTCAATGTAAGTTCTCCCATGACAACTAGCCTGTGCCGAACACCTCATTGTATGAGGCCAGCTGGAGGTCAGCTGACGGGGCCCAAGAAAATGTTGCCCGAAGTCAGCCTCTACAAAACCAGACGAAATGAAATGAAAGAATTCGAGGTCATAGTCAAAGTGGAAGTTCTCTCCTCCCTTCAGAGAAAGGTACCTCCTCCTTTGATGACCTGTTCTTTCCACTGGGATCTCACTCACAGAGATCTTTCATATAGGTTGATTTTTTTTTTTTTTTTTTTGCTACAATGTCTTGGCTTTCCATGCCTAAAATACTCTCATGGGCTCTTCAGCCAGATCTGAATGCCTTAAGGGCTGATTCTGAGGCCAGAGTGCTGTTTAGGACATCTGCCATTCTATGAGTCTGCTGTATATCCCGCTTCCCATGTTGGACTGCTCTCTCCCTTTTTTATTCTACCAGTATTTGCAGACACTAGTCTTGTTTTAATGCTATAACTAGTACCCAAACAGTATTTTACACTCTGTGTTTCTGTGTGGGTGCAAACTGTTGAAATCTTTACTTAATATATGCTAAATTGATCTTCTGTATATAAAGAGAATTGAAAATGAATCTTGATGTGAATGGAAGGGGAGAAGGAGCAGGAGAGGGGAGGGTTGCGGGTGGGAAGGAAGTTATGGGGGGGGGGGAAGCCACCGTAATTCAAAAGCTGTTCTTCGGAAATTTATATTAAATAAAAGTTAAAAAAAAGAAAGAACATGGGAACAAACAGGCCTGAAATTGGTACCACTAGCCAATTTCAAACACAAAACCATGATCTACCAAATAGAGGGTATGTCTGCTGCCTCAGATAGCCAACATATAAATGTGTAAGGGGGTACATCAAAAGAGGGACAGTGTAGAAGTATGTGCGTATCTCAGTGAATGCTTGACTCAAAGCCACGGTCTTCCGACTCGGCCCCTCTGCAGGTGCAATGATAGGAGGAGTGTACACGTGTGTGCATGTGCAAACTTTCTGAATATAGTTATGTGCCAATTCCATTTCTATCATTTTTCTTCCCCTTTTAGACTCTGACATAAGAGGAGTCGCTGCTGTTACTTAACTGTGTAATCATATACGTTAGCAAAGGGGAAAGCAAGGCTTACACACAGATATCTTCATACAGAGGTATCGCTATTATGTGCAATAAATACAATGAGAGGGAATGAGGGACCTGATCCATGTCCTATTTTAAATGGATTTACCCATTCTCACTTAAATGCTCATTTTAAAATCTTGTGGATGACATCTAATCCCAATCCTAAAGGAAATCCGTGTGTATTTACTATACTGATATCCAGGGCAGATGGTAAGAAAACAGTGTGGGAGACAGTTCACAGTGTGCGCTTTAGGAATCAGAGGAGGATGAGAATTACAAAGCTGTGGATTAAGAAGCTGTTATCTAAACAGTTATTATTACAAGTTTGCGGTGGAAAGCCAACAATATATTACCCGGAACACATTCCCTAGTATGAATAAAAACTGTCATCTCATAGGTCAGTAACCTTATTTAGGTCAAACTATTCCCTAAAATCAAATAGAATATGAAATTCTAAAACAGAAGTTTACAGTGTAAAGATATTTTGGCTGCTTGTACAGAGTATGAGTCGGAGTCTACAGAGTTCCCACGCGACTCATTCTCATCAAGCAAACTAGAAACTTCCCACATTTCTCCTTACAACTGCCGCCTCCCAGAAGCCAAAAAGGGGAGAATCACCGTCGTTCACCGACACACAGCTGGCAGGTCTCAGATACCGTCACGCATAGCTGTCAATGAACTCGCTTCATGTACAATTCCAAACAATTATATTATGTTGGACATTTATTACATCCCCGAGCCCCGAAATCCTAGAAACTGCCATCGCAGGACGAAAACAGCCGAGCTGGGCCCAGAGGCCAAACAAACCCCGCAGTACACAAATAAATACTGCTCTCCCGCGCCGCTCTGCCTCTCAGGTTGATGTCTTCATCCGGGCCAGCAGCTTTTTCCTCTCCCTCCCTGTGCCTTCGGCCGTTCTTCCATAACCTCTCCCATCCCCCTCGGCTCCACTATTCCCCAAGCTCACAATTTCTCTCTCTAGCCTTTATGTTCCTCTGCAAACTGCCCGCACTCCTCCACAGGCCGCCGCTCCCTAACTAAAGATGGTTATTGATGGACAGTAGCAGTGTTTTAGTGCAGCAGCAGAATCAATAAACGAGAAAATACTGCTTTGTCAGGCTTCACCAGAGCATTCTGGGAAACTTTACAGCTTTGGGTGGTGACAAACTCTTGCTCTGCGAGCAGGAGCCCGGCTGCCTGGGGCCGGGAGAAGCGCTCTCCCTCTCCCCGCTAGTGACAGCAGAGCTGCAAGGCAGGCGCTGCAGGATTTCCCAGACAGCCTGCCCCGGTTATTTATCGTCTCTTCATTTTACTTCTGAAAAAGAAAAGAACTAGAGTCTTGGGAGCCAACTGAACTGGTCGGATAACAAAGAACCCTGTCGGAGCCTTCTCCACTGTGCCAACGGCAGGTTTCCACAGTTAGGAATTTCAGCCCGAGCTCCAGCTCCTTGCGTTTGCAAAGTGCAGCTTTCTCCCTAAGTGACTACTGCTGGCAAGTTAAAATGTCCGTTCTCTCTCTCTCTTTCTCTCTCTCTCTCTCTCTCTCTCACACACACACACCCCTCCCTCACAACACCTTTCCGCTGGAAGTGCTTACAATTTCAAACGCCTGATTTCATACTAAAATAAGCATCTGAGGTACCGTGAGGTTAGAAATTAGAGGTGGCGTGTATGTGTGCAGACGGGCAAGTGTGCAAACACACGCACACACACACAACTGTCAGCACAGCCCCTTCCCTACACACACACACACACACACACACACACACCCCTCCCCTCACCACTGCCTTTCAGAAATTCAGCTGGACAAACAGAATGAAATGCCGTATTGTTTAATAGGAATTCCTTTTACGGTTGGTTATTTCTCTCTAACTCATGATAGAGTTGCTAAATTCAGTTGTAAATACTTTTTTGGCTTATTTTTACCTAATTTTCATACTTGGTCCCTTAAGTCACAATCTGCTAATTAGTAAGTTGATAAAATTAAGAATGCAATCCTAATTTGGTATTCACTTTTTAAATTATGCAGTATTGTTTAATTACCTAAAGAGATATTAACAACATAAAACCATCACCAGGAGTCCGTGAAGAGATTTTTAAAGAAACTCTTGCCAAAAAAGTAACACATGGTGTTTTTAGAAGATACAAAAGAGACATAACACACATCACCTATTCTTCTCATTCCTTACAGTATTCCTATAGCACAAATCCCAGTTTGCATCCAATGGTAAATGACTTTCCAAACTACAGAACCTAACACAGTGCACGGTCAATTATCCAAGCGTAATTAAGGGCTGCATTCCAACAGGGCCTGCAAATATAAAATGTCAACCACAAAAATAGGTGAAAAATCAAACATCCGGCTGTGCCCTTATTAAGTGGAAATGTTTAAAGTTTGTCTCTTCCCACTGGAAATGGAAGAAGAAAAGGATCCATCGTATGCAAAGGTTTAGTGGTATCAACTATTACATTCGCATTTCCTACAGATTCCATCAGATAAATAATTTTTTTAAAAAAGTACACATACCTTGCTGGCACTTAACCGCTTCCGATTTGACCACTGCTGAGAATGGTGTCCAACAAATGGTGGAAGTGGCAAAATGAAACAAAGCAAAACAGCAACATTAATAGTATAATTCCACCATGCTAGACAGCACAGAGTACACCTAGAGGGGCAACACCCAAGTTCTGAGTTACACGAAAAGCACACTTTATAGCAAGAAAATAGAAACAAAGAAATGTATGTAGTGGTATTAGATCAATTTCTCAGAGTATGAAAAGGCAGTGCCACATGAATATCAGTCAATCCTCAGAAGTAGTTTAGATTATCTTACAAACAGTACAATTTTACTTCTAAAAAATGGGAAAAACAAGCCTCTCCTACTTGAAATATTCAGCTAACGTGAAAATGTTTCTGAAATTCATGATCAAGGCCAGTTCATGCTTAGCTTTCCAGTTTCACAAATCCGAAAATCATTCCCCTTTCACTAATTAAATCTCAAATTCAGAATCACAGGGGAACTATGACTCATCATTGTCCAACTTAGAAAAAATAGTTAATGCAGCACTGAGCAATGGGAAAACAACTCTGAAGAGCAAAAAACTTCAGCCTGAGAAAACAGCACTGAGGGGAAAACCTCTGACAGCAACAAGCCCCAAGCCCTGTTCTGCTTTATTCTTCTAAGTTTAGTGAATTTTGCCACAGTTAAAATTCTCTCTCTCCTGTCACCGAACAGTTCAGTCTTGCAAAGCACTCTGGCTGGCTGACCAGCTAACTGGTTGTTAAAACTTGGACAAATTCAGGAGATTACAACTCAATTTTGAACCTAATTGAGCAGACAACATTGAGTATTACGCTTAAGAACAAAAATATATTCAGGAAAATGACCTATACATTTTGCCAATATGTTATCCCAATAAATTAGAAACTGGAAAATAAACAGTACCAAAGGGAAATCCAATTTTAGTCCTTTATCCAGCAGTTAGAAATACTGATACAGAATGATTTAAAAATAACCTTCATTAACAACACTTACCCTGTTGAAAACCTGAGTTCAACATTCTGCACGTGATAGAGTGACAGGTACTACAACCTGCATCTTAAAATCAGTGTTTTGTTTTCTTTTTCCCAATCTGGTGACAACTATTTTAATCCAAACCAATTGCCTGAATTAATTACCATCTTCTGGGTACACAGGGTTATTTAGGACCCTGCCACATAAAATCACCCGACTTTTATAACAGTCATAACAGATAAACACAATAGGATGGAACACAATGGAAACTAACTACTGCTATTCACTCACTTTGGTGCTACAGAATAGCACCCATTCAGGGCTCTACCCTATACCAATCACCATATTAATAATCTTAGTCTCCACAACTCTGGGCAACAGACACACCTTTTAGCCCCATTTCACAGACGAAGAAATCGTAGCTGGGAGAGGTTAAATAATTCTGTGAATTTGACCAGACCACCGGGAAGCTGGGACTCAAACCCAGGCCATCTGACCACAGAGACCATAATGTCAAGGGTACTTAGTTATTTCTGCAAAGAAAGGAAAAGAGCCAGTCTTTTCTCAGCCTTCCAGCCCGTGTCTTACTCCCAGCCACACCGCACTCAGGCACGTTTAAATCCCTGTTCTTGGGGATACATTCACCAGTGTTTTGCACGTGTCAAGGATTTGTCAGCTTGCCACAAAGACACCCTCAATGATGATGGAAAGAAAAGTGGGTGCAAAACTCAGAAACCAAACTGAAATGTCTCAGTTTAAAATACAATGTAAATTCACAAATTATCTCAAACAGTGTATTGCTCTCCATTCATATTTCTGCTTAAAATCCCAATATAAAAATGCCTTTAAATAGTAACTCAAACTCTACAAAAAGAACTATGTTTTATGATATCTATTATGCTTCAAGGACCCATGATAGGTGCTGCAAGTTGGATAAACACACATGATCCAGAATGAATTGTTCCTTGGTCAGTGATACTTTGATCGTGTTCATAAGCAGAAAAAGGGACCTCCCAGACGAGACCACTGAGCCTGGGCAGGGCTTTCCGTGTTGTAACAGCCCCATGAAAAATACACGTAATAAATGCATCATACACGAGAGCTGTGTCCACAAAAACAGCAGAGAAAATCAGCGTGCAGGCATGCGTGCACAGGGCCTGAGAAGAGGAGCAGTCCAGACAGGATGAGGACACTGGCGACTCTAGGATGTGGAAAAGATCTTCTTCAAGATGCTTCACAAAATCAAATGAGGCTGCAGCCCACGCTAAGTGTGCTGCATTTGAAATGAATTGGACAAAAGCATCTCTTTAAAACGCCAAATTCTGGCAATATTTAAATCTATTTTAAGTGCTAATATGATGGCTAAACATAATTCAACAGACCACAGGAAAAACAAGGGTCGGCCTTTACATACACAGCTCTTTTCTTAGGAAAACCACCCAGCTCCAAAACATACACTTGGATATGTAAGAAATTTCTGGAACACATCAGCTGGCAAGGAGACGATCATGTGACAGATGACGCTTGCTTGCACTGCTCACTATTTCAACTGGCATCCGGTTCAAATCACTGGTCACCTACGGTGCCCATGGACGTTGAGTCCAGTCAGGGTCGTGGTAGCAACACTGTCAAAACTAAGAGGCGGCCAAAGATAATCCACCATTTTTATGTGGGGCAGGAATGAAAAACAAGTTTATTTTCAGGAGCAATTTAAGACGTCTTACTGACCTCGGGCAATTGGGAAGTCACTGTGTGGTTTTCCCACTCCCGTAAACTACCCTCCAGGAGCTTATCAGTAAATCAGTCAGAATTTTCGCCATGAAAAATATGACAACTGAAAGCATAAGTGATGTCCAAAGGAAGACTGAGTCCTCGCGCACCACACTGCCTCAGCGCACAAGGCACTACACCTCCCTGACTTATAAACAGACCTCTGATTTGCACACAGGATTACACACTAAGTTGTAACATCTGATTCTTTTTCAAATGGGTCTTTTAGTTGGCTTTAAAAATAATTTTCAAGTTAGCTACACTCAAAGATGTTTTTTGTTCTTGTCGTAATTCTTATAGGGTTTGTCTGTACATGTTTTCTCATAAGAACAGCCACCAACACATGATGGTAAAATCGATGCTAGAGACACCTTCAACAGGTCGTGTGTCAGCTCAGAATTTCCATGTGCTAGGCCAGAGAAAAGTAAGTCTTTTATCTTCTCAAAAGCACTACCAGTGGAAAAGTTGGTAACTAAAGGTACAAAAGAAAAAGAGGCAATTGAAGTACTGCAAATATTTACTTGGTCACCCTAATAATATGCAATAATTAAATTCTGGGGACTGATTTTCAGAAATGAGTAATGCCTAGACCATCTAGGACCTAAAATAATGCTAAGTAGACGCCTGGACACTTAGTGGAAGGATATTCTGGATGATTTATGATAAGCCAACTATAAGCAGCATGTAAACTTTAATAACAGCAACACTGGTCATATCTCCAGCCCAAGGAGGTCATTCCTTAGAATTTTTAGTGCACTTAACCACGGGTAGGCACGTGATGTTGCTGTCAAATTATTTTTTCCAACAAAAGTAATTAAGAAGAAATCTGTCTCCTGCTAGGCCAGAGATCACAGGAATATGACATCGAAGAATTTAAAAAGCAAAAGGTCCCACTCACGTGTCTCTTGAAGTCACCTTGTTTCACTACTAAATTTAAACTTAGCACGATCACTCCCATGTCATCTTCCAAACTGTTTGGATCTTCCAATTTTAAAATATGTTCAGTCGTCCTACACACACAAAGGAAGGAATAATTTGTACACATATTGATGGTGCCGTATAGTCCAATAATGCTTCAGGAACTTCTGAACAAGAGTTTTACTCAGTCCTGAAGAGCATTAAATTTAGTGCAGTCACCCGTATTCAGGGTTAGTTCCACAGCTGGTCAGATCTCCTCCTCACTGTCCCAGTGGAATGTAAGTACTTGTTTAAGTTAACGAACCTGAATTTTACCCATTGAAAGTAGGAGGCCCAATTCACATTTTAGAACACGCCGTAAATGATTTAACATCTGATTAATACATTTTACTTCTAGAAGCGAAAAAAAAATCTTTAAAAATAAATTTCATTTAAAAAAAATAAAACTTGAAAAGCCAAAAAATATGTTGAGAGCAATAAAAATTCAAAGCACTTTTCCATTGATTCAGATTTGTTTCAGTCTAACAAGCACCATTTAACATTATTGGAATTCCCTCTAAAATTATTAATAATAATTAAAAGGCAAAAATACAGTACCTGTTAAGTTCAAGATCACTGAGAACAACAAATGCAGAGCCCATGAAATCAGATGTGGTTAAGTCTCGATCATACACCTACAGAGGGCAGAGGCCAGTACCATGTAAGTCACCAAGTTCATCAGTCATTCACAGGCAATAGGCTGAGAGTTTTGAAATCACTCAGATCTTACAATAACGTCACAGTTACAGCTAAGGGAAACACAACCATGACTCACAAGGGGCAAAGTTATGCAACCGTGCCCATGTTGCCTGCCATGGCCAAAACAATTATTACATATTAATCCAAAAGTTTAAAATAAAAAAATACCAACAGAAACATTTTAAGGCAGTTTTTATGTGATTAAATTGTTACGCACAGTAGACCTCTCTCTGTAGTTTAAATAGTCCCTCATTAAAATTTAGTGTTTTCCACGGTGAACAGACCTGCCAATTAAACAGGAATTTGCTAAATATTCTATAGCGATCCTATTCTGCACTCAACTCATGCAGTTTGAACCCAGATGTTGGAGTAACTGATGCTTTCAACAGTAGCTGAGAGCTCTATTAAATACAAAGTTATTCCCAATGAGACGGGCTTCAGAACTGCTTGCTGTCCAGCTATCAGTAATAATTCTTCCACATCCGGTAAGTTTAAATACAACCCACAGACACATTATTTTTCACTCCGAATTTCTGTACAGCACGTCCCGTTGAGCTGATAAAAAACATACAGTTCTGACAAGTGGCATACAGTATTCCTTCTATATGAATACTTTTAACCCTATCCTTGAAAATAATCAATAAAACAATTAACCGTGGCAGGTTCAGTTGTAAGAGAACACAGAAAGCCACTGAGAAACATTTTAAACAAAGGAGCAGAGCCATTGAGATTACCTTCACACGCAGCTTTTGATCAAGGCTTTGGATTGGTAACACAACTATCTCATCCCAAATGGGGTTCAAGTTCTTATACACCACTTTGCTTTTGTAAAGCGTCTTCCCATTCAGCTTAAATTTCACATAGGGATCACTTGTGCCTTTAAAAGAAACAGAGAACAAAATGGAATTTTAAAGGACGTGAAAAAGTGCACACTCCGCAGCCCAAGCCCCCCTGCCCAGAGATGCGGGGGCCTGGAGGTGGAGGGGAGAGGCAGAAAAACAATTTAGGGCAAACGCCTGATCCTTTGCTGCCTTTTGTGGTAGCAGAAAAATAGGCTCCTTGAGCTCTGTTGGCCTCTTTGTGGGGACGTCATCCCTACACTACCCACAAAAACACAGGACATCCAGTCCACAAGCCCAGCGAGTGCCGGCAGGGGTCCTGGGGAGAAACCCCCTGCTCCCAGGCTCGGTGTCGGGTCAGCGAGAAGTGAAGGGAGCTCTTTCCAATGCTCGGTCCCGGGTACTGATTCAATAGAGTCACGCGCTTTCCAAAAGATTCATACTCCATCAGCGAGCCGTGCGGGTCACTGCTTCAAAGGGTGGGGGCAGGGCAAGAATGGAGTGGGCAGTCCCCTTTCTTCGCTGCCTCCCCACACCTGCACTAAAGCGGAGGGCATTGTCTGTGCGGGGCCAGCTGAACTCCTCGTCAGCCAGGCCCTCGGCTGGCCTCAGCGCCAACACCGCTGACCCTTCAGGCTCCTCCTGGGGAGAAGGAATGAGTAATGGGCCTGCAGGCATGAGGCCCCGAGTGCAGCCGAGGGCTGAGGAAGAGAGGCCCACAGACAGGCTACGTGAATGATGTACTGTGTGTGTGTGTCATATATGCATGTGTGTGTCGCATGTGTGTCACACATCTGTGCTTGTGTCACATGCATGTGTCACACTCGTGTGTGTGTGGGATCACGGAGTGTCCAGGGTACGTGTGCTCACCGGTATGCAGTTAACAGTGCACAAACAAGAACAAATGAACACAGCTTCCTCATGGGGGTAAACAGAGTTCCACTGATAATGCTACAGAGACACAAACCTTGGGGAGCTGGGATCCCACAGCTGTGGGAACCAATATCCAGAGACCAAGTCTGCTTCGCTCACAGATAAATCCTGAATTTTTTTGGACAATGCCCCAGATAGGCCCCTGGAACATTTCTCAAAATGAATTTCTGCGGTTAAAGTCAAACCCGTTTAGTCTGAGTACATGACATCAAAAGTTGATCAGTCTACTGTCACTAGCAGCACCGTCACTCACATCACCATTTATTGTTTCCAGCCCCTTTTTACATGTGCATTTAGTGCTGGTACTGGCAACCAGTGACAACGGGTGCAATAAACTTCCCCACCATTTGAGCTAGGAGCAGCACCCTGCTGCCTAGGACGGCACGCACTCCTGACTCATCCTAGGAAAGACACAACCGTGCTAGGTCACCTCCCCCTGTTGCAAGGGTGCTAACTTCAAACAGTGACATGGACTAAACCCTCAGCGCCTGCAAGCTCGACTCTCGCATCTCCACTTCGGCAGCGCAAAGGCAGAGGCCCGGCTCTCATCCTTTAAGCGTGGCTGTCAGGCATCGGTTCCGAGCCGGGAGCAGAAGCCCAGCACAATACCCGACAGCGCCCGCGGCACCCGCCCACCCCATCGCGCTCCCCGCACCTAGGGCGAGTCAGCCTTTCACAGCCACAAGCAGATAAAGGGGAAGAAAACGACAATAAAAAGAGGCCTTTAATTAAATGAAATTGCCACTCTGGGATCAGGCCTTCATGCTTGTCAGCGTCCTCTCAAAATAAACATCTCAAAACTCGGCCTGCCGGTGTCACTTTCTCACAGGCAAAGAACCCTGGGTAATCCCCAGGCATCCTGACAGCTACATAATGTTCAGCCGTTTCACGGGTGAATGGCAGCCGTCGTGTGAAAGAAAATATTAATGTCTGGAGTTAATCGACGAAGGGGCCAGGGCTTGCAAAGCTGAACGAGGAAAGAGGTGCCGAGTCAGTGCCAGGGTTAGGGGGCGCAGGAGGCAACCGGGGCGCACGGCGGCTTTCTCTCTGAGACCCTGGTGTCTCATGGTCAGCGAAGGGAGGCTTCAACCAGGCAGGCTCTGAAAGGGGGTCTCTGCCCAGGAATGCGACCCCCAGATTACACAGATGACGAGATGACACCTGAATGCGTGGACTCTGACCTGCTGCTCTGGCAGCTCCACACACAATGAGGCTCTTGTGGTACCCACGCTCCAGGAGCAGAATGAAGCTGGGGGCCTCCGCCCCAGCCGCTTCGGCCACGTGGGCCCTGATGGGGCTGCGGAAACCCAAATCTGTCACCTCAGTGGCCCGATTGTCCTGCTCCCCTCTAAGAACTCTACCGCCCTCTCTATCCCAGCCTCCATGTCCGTGGACTGCACCAACCGCAAGTGGAAAACACTCAGGAGAAAAAATCGTGTGTGAATTAGATACAGACCCGCGCCTGTGGCTATTCCCTCAACAGTGCAGCACGCAGCATCTCCACTGTTTCGGGTACAGCAAGTTGTCTACAGGTGATTTAAAATACACAGGCTAGGGGCCAGTGCTGTGACGTAGAGGGTAAAGCCACAGCCTGCAGTGCCAGCATCCCTTATGGGCGCAGGTTCGAATCCTGGCTGCACCTCTTCCCATCCAGCTCTCTGCTATTGCCTGGGAAAGCAGAAGATGGCCCAAGTCCTTGGGCCCCTGCAACCTGCATGGGAAACCTGGAAGAAGCTCCTGGCCCAGTTACAGCTGTTGTGGCCATTTGAGGAGTGAACCAGCAGATGGAAGACCTCTCTTCCTCTCTTCCCCTCTCCCCCTCTCCCCCTCTCCCTCTGCCACACTTTTAGAAGGCACCTGAGGCTGGCGCCACGGCTCACTAGGCTAATCCTCCGCCTTGTGGCGCCAGCACACCAGGTTCTAGTCCCGGTCAGGGCGCCGGATTCTGTCCCAGTTGCCCCTCTTCCAGGCCAGCTCTCTGCTGTGGCCCGGGAGTGCAGTGGAGGATGGCCCAAGTGCTTGGGCCCTGCACCCCATGGGAGACCAGGAGAAGCACCTGGCTCCTACCATCGGATCAGCGCGGTGCGCCGGCTGCAGCGCACTGGCTGCGGAGGCCATTGGAGGGTGAACCAATGGCAAAGGAAGACCTTTCTCTCTGTCACTCTCTCACTGTCCACTCTGCCTGTCAAAAAAATAAAAATAAATAAAAAAAAGGCACTTGAGCATCAAGTGGACTTCGCCGTCTGCTGGGGTCTTAGAGGCAAGGACCCAGACACCTGAGAGGTGACCGCATTTGCGGAGAGGAACCAACACTGGCCCCTGGTCCTATAAAAGTGCACCACCAATTCCCACCCCGAAGAATGAGGAGCGACACTCCTCAGCTCTGGTCAGGCCCACTCAAGCCACAGATGGCCAGGTCTCTCTTGGTGCTGCACTTGTCAGACACAGGAGAGCACCACAATGCTTCCTCCTCTGGGCCTGGCTCGGTGCCGGGCACTCTGGGGGGTTATCAAGGTGCACCCATCCCGCCCCTGCTCCTCTGCAGTTGATGGGCAGCACGCAGCCCAGGAATGTAGCACAGAGTCCACAAGGCAGGTGTCCAAATGGAACGGAACCAGGGAGGGCCATGTGCAGGAGACCTGTTCCAGCAGGGGTCTCAATGGGGGCTGAAACAGGAGAAAGGAGCTGGCATGTGGCTGGGCCCAAGCATGCAGAGCAGCCATGAGGCCACTCCACAGGAGGCAGTGGGGGAGGAGTCTCGACATGATTACAGTGGGCTGGTGCCCGGCAGCATTCCAATGCATCCAGAAATTAGGGGAGAAAAACAGAATGAGAAATACATAGGCTGGGTTGAGTCAGAAACTGAAGATTCCCTAAAATAAGGAGGTTAATTAGTATTCTGTAAGAATCACAGGTGTTTTATTTCCTAGTCTCCTGCTTTTAGTTTTTTAACAAACGTAAACACATGCACGCAACTCAGAGGTTTGAAACGAAAAACAAAGTCTCTACTCTCGCTTTTCCCCGATTCCCATTTGGTGTTCTCGCATTAGCGGCTTCTCAGGTGTTTTATAGGGAAAAAAGGATCTTTCAGGGACTCTACAGTTTCACAAGTAAGGCACCAGGGATCTCTGCTCACACCACCAATACAGGCTGACTTCATACAAAATTAGTGAAGTGAAAATGCATCGTGTTGCATGAAGTCATGCCATTAGCCAATAATGGCCCCATATCCCTTCCACTCTCTCTTCCCGGCAGGGGCAGTACTGCAGGGCATCCGGTAAGCCCACCAGGGATGCAGAGGGAACTCTGAACCCTGGGAGTTTCTGACACACAGCGGCAAATTGGTTTCCAAAGTTTCTCGGATTTATGCTCCCACAAAAGCACCTATCTTGGACTTGCTTCTTCACACGTTCACAAACCTTGGCTATTACAAACCTTTCTTTTGAGCCGGCGCCGTGGCTCAATAGGCTAATCCTCCACCTTGCGGCGCCGGCACACCGGGTTCTAGTCCCGGTTGGGGCGCCGGATTCTGTCCCGGTTGCCCCTCTTCCAGGCCAGCTCTCTGCTATGGCCAGGGAGTGCAGTGGAGGATGGCCCAGGTGCTTGGGCCCTGCACCCCATGGGAGACCAGGAAAAGCACCTGGCTCCTGGCTCCTGCCAGGATCAGCGCGGTGCGCCGGCTGCAGCGGCGGCCATTGGAGGGTGAACCAACGGCAAAAGGAAGACCTTTCTCTGTCTCTCTCTCTCACTGTCCACTCTGCCTGTCAAAAAAAAAAAAAAAAAAAACAAACAAACAAACCTTTCTTTTATCCTAAGCCAGTGGAAGGCTCAGAACACTGCTGGCTACATTTTTCCCCATCTTTAGTGCTTTCAGCAAAGTTGAGCATCTTTTATATTTCGGTGACCTACGTTTGTATTTCTGTGAACTGTTGGTTCACGTCACTTGGTCAGTTTCCAGTGGGTTTGTGATTTTTTTTTTGACAGGCAGAGTTAGACAGTGAGAGAGAGACAGAAAGGTCTTCCTTCCATTGGTCCACCCCCTAAATGGCCGCTACAGCCGGCGCTGCGCCGATCTGAAGCCAGGAGCCAGGTGCTTCTCCTAGTC